TTTACCAGACAAATTTTCTTGAACAGTGTGCTGACTCAGCAACATTAAGCAAAGTAAGTCAAATCAATGAGGGTTACGTCGTGGTCCATCATATAGTACTCTCTAATGAACTCACTATATGATTCGGGAAGTGACTGAAGAACCAAGTTAATAGCCAATTTCCTTGAGACATCGACACCCAACATTCCTAATCTATCAATATGTAACTTCATATCCAAGACATTAGCACATACATACTTTCCATTTTTGTGTTTAATTGCCAATAGGGCTTGAGTGACCTTGAACTTTTCAAGTCTTCGAACACGTGGGTCAGGGAGAATAATTGGAGGAGGTGTATGAAGTGAAGCATGATTTCCATTTCTACAATCCAATCGTGGACATCATCTTCAAGCGAAAAGCTTTTTCTAACAGATTTATGAAGAGCATAGTAGATAGACTTTGACATCTACAAAATGGGATAAATTCAAGTTAGTTTATTGGAATCCTTGATATAACACCCAAATGAAATATCAAGGCTAGGACCCAACACAATATCCTACAATATGGAAGAGGGATGTCATAATCCAAATTGCAGAATATTTGAAGGTAGGTAAATGATGATTTACCGATTTCCACCATGAAAAACGAAAAATGAAAATTAAGTTTTAAATGAATTGAAACTCCTAAATATTTTGAGATTCATTGAACTTTTCAATGACATATTTAAATCTTGAGTGTGTCCTTCGTTTGTGACTGGGATGCCGAGGATCACAAACAAGTTGCGGATAACCATGCATATACATGGTGCCCCCAATGTTACATTCACCTAATCGATGTGACGATTAACCACACACGCTCCATCGATCTATAACAAACATCGAGTCACTCTTTGCCACCTTTACTTAGAGCCCAATTAGTGTGCCGGTTAACCATACACGCTCCACTAACGTCTTAGCAATGGTACAAAGTATAATTTCATGGAATACCACCAACTCTACATTTTTCCTAAAGTAACTAAGATTTGAGAATTTAAAAAACTGTTTAGTTACTTCATGCTTCATTATACTTATAATGAAAGGTTGCATCCTATCCTACCCGTTCGGATAACGACCATCCACTAGTCAAGAGTGCGGTGGGTAAGAGTGCATACCCAATGACGGTAATTTTACAGACCGCTTCCATAAACACCCATTATAGACCAACTTCGTAAATGAGACCTACTAATGGTAAGACTGACATTTACTTACACATATATAATATATTAGACTTTTAATTTATATAGTATAAGAGTGTATTTTAACTTTTAAAATACTATGTGATCTAATTTAAGAAAATCATACTTTTAATTTAATTAAATACAAACCATATCATTATCGATGTATTAACTCTCTTTTAATTATACACTTAATTAATTTAATAAATCCATAAGGTTGTAATTTGAACTTTTCAAAATACAAAGGTTTAGAATTTAATATTTTCAAAAATAATACCTTTTAATTAATTCTTATCAATTCTTGACTAATATCAATTAAAGAATATGATTTCTCATTTAATATATTATTTATATAATATATTAATAAATCATAAATAATCCTCTTTCTCCTTAATTTATCCTATCATTTGCTATGATGAAAACAACTTAAAAGGACCATGCTTACAATCAGATCAAGTACATATCAAAATAATTATGGATTTAAACACCTAATCCAACAAGAACAAGATAGTAAAATTACCACATCATCCATATACCATATGATATATATATATATATATATATATATATATATATATATATATATATATATATATATATATATATATATATATCGGACCCTACTATATAATTTATGTTAATTGTACTTAAACAAACTAGCTTAAATGAGAGATCGTAAGTTTCAGTTAATTAAGTATAATGAATAAAAGATTGAAAGATAGAACTTGAATGGTATTTGCAGATAGTAAGTTTTGTGAAAAGTGTCTGCAGACAAAAATTTTAAGGGTGATTATATACACTTGGATTCAATATACATTAATTTTACGAATGTTTTATGATAATTGTTTAAGAAATAAAAAACAATTTTTCTTTATTTTTGTGGAAGTTGTGCCAGTGGGTATTTGAGTCTTATTTCTCTTGTCCATGTTTGTTCCATTATTTTTAGTGGGATTAAAATCTAAGAGTTTAGTCCCATTTGAATTGGTATTGTTCCATTCAATTTTAGTTTCATCATAACCAAACGCTATCTCAATCGATTTTATTGTGTTATGTTCTCTCACTCATTAAACTGTATCTAAAGAAATGAAAAATGATTCTTGAGGGTAATTAACTTTTGCGTTTGTACTCATTTGGTCTATTTCCTTTTTTTTTGTATTCAATATATCATCGCACTTGTTGTTTGTGTTCACCATAACCATTTTGACCGAATTTTGACATGTGATAGTCGGTCAAAGGATTATGGTGAACACAAATAACAAGTTCGATTGTATATTGAGTACAAAAAAAAAGTGACCAAATGAGAACAAACTCAACAGTTGGTTACTCTCCTGAGTCATTTCCTTTTACTCATTTACAGCAAATCCCACGTCATCTCCTACTGATATTAATGATTTTATGATATTCATTCTTGTTTCTCTTCAAAACATAACCCACGAAAAGAACAATATTTAGACATGTATAACTTTGTAATGCACTTGAATACTTATTAGGGGAATCTTGACCAAGCAGACGCATTTCATGACTACATTTACATTTCCAATCGAATGATTTATCGTATCATGGATTCTAGACAAAACTATAAACGAGTGGAATCACAAGTGCTGTGATTTTTGAGTTTACTTAGCTTTAAGATCGAATTCATGGGATGAGATACAATATCAATATGTACAATATCATGTTGTTTTTGCAGACACATCACCATAATATACCTTGAGGTAAACGTTTATGCTGATAAATATACATCCCATACACAATCATATCCTTTTGAAGAGAGATGTTGACAGTTAACCACAGTAAGCATAACATAGATCAAGTTTTAACAAAGTTACCCCTCTGAAACACTCTTCATATACGTTATAGCCAAAGAAGGTTGCAGTCTTTGATAATTTTGCAACTTTAGTTTCATTTAACTTTTCGAGGAAATGATTCAGATGGGTAACAAACTGTTGAGTTTGTTCTCATTTGGTCCATTTCCTTTTTTTTTGTACATAATATATCATCGAACTTTCTGTTTGTGTTCACCATAACCCTTTGATCGGCTATCACCTGTCAAAAGCCGGTCAAAAGGGTTATGGTGAACACAAACAACAAATTCAATGGTATATTGAATACAAAAAAAAGGGACCAAATGAATACAAATGCAAAAGTTAATTACCCTCAAGAATCATTTTCTCCTAAAGAAACCATAGTGACCATCTATGAGGCATTTTGAACTTAATGATTATATGTCACACTATAGTGACCATCTTATGAAGTTTTGACAAATAAAAAAATAAAATAAAATAAAAATTAGATGGGTTTCTATTATCATCGCTGGATGCTACCATGCTCAACCGCTCTATGCCTCTATCTAAGCTGGTTCCGCTGGTTTGTAAATTTGAGCTTTTATTGAATCAAACTTTCAACCAAACAAAATCACAAGACCGACTCTTGCAATGAAATACAAGTTGATATAAAAGTTGTGATATTTTATAATACCACAATGTTACAAAAACTATTGAGAAATGGGTGGTGACCTGGAATGTGGATCGGTAAAAAAAGTGACACAATGATTATGATTACAATGATAAAAGTAGGTTCTTACCTAAATGGACAAGACATCCATAATCCAACAAAAGGCATGCCTATCAAGGGACAAACATCATTGCTTAAGAAGGAGAAATCAGATATATATGTTAACTAATATTATTATAACAAATATGTACTTAATAACTTTAGTTCTATATTTAAGGGAAAATAAGACTTAGATTAGTAATTTTTCCTATATTTAATCAACTAATAACATACTTACTTAAAAGAAACAGATACAGATTAATATACTTGCTTGCAAAAGGATGCCGACAAAACAGTTATAATATCATGCCGACAAAGACATCTTAAATAAAATTTCATATGGATTTTTTCTATGAAAATGATGAAGATTCATTTAACAACAAATCTATATAATACATAAACAAACCTAATTTATAAATGTAAAATTGTAAGCTGCTTTTTCCATTTGATAACAAAAAATATTGTTGAAGTATAAAAATGGGATATTTACAAAATTGTTTATCAACGATGAAGTGTTTATGGAAAATGATTATAATTTGTTTGTCTTATCAAAATGATTACTCAGGTAGAGATGTTGCATACTGAATATGTATTTTTTTTATTTTGTTTGCAAGTCTATCTATGTATATATAAAATAAAATGACATTTTCGAATGTCAACTATCACTCAATTTTCAATTAAATGTCATCCTGTAAGACATTGCATCTACTTTTCATTTGCTGTTTTTATTTTCAACAGCTTGTTATATTCTAGTAAAAAACAAACAACTTTCTCGAGATTCAAAATCTTTTTCGTAATTCAGAAATTGTTAATAGGATTTTAGATTTGTTATTGAAATTTCATAATAGGTTATTTTTTTCAATGTCCGGAATATGGGTCAAGAATATGGAATATTTGTTCAAAAGAAAATTGTTGTAGATTTTTTTTTTTTTTTTTTTTAATGTAAAATAAAATTAGTATCATTTTGATAAAACTAAAAAATTGGTATATTTTATTTTATTCCAAAATTCAAATAATCATTCAACTATATTTATTTATTGTTTTTCATATGAACGTGGGGATTGACCATTATATGCTCTTTTATAATCTCTCACATCTAAACTGATCAACATCCTGTTAATTTTAACAGGATCTATAGGGTAGATGAAGTTAACCTTCAATGAAAAGGATTAGAATTATTAAAACCAAACACATTGAATCTATTAATTACTCAAAGAACCAAAAACGGAGGAAAATAATATAAACAGATTGAAAACTAATTTTTTTTACCATTTTTGCTACCAACATGATGCAACCAACCAAACCCTTTGAGAGCTTTCGAAATCTTCACAAGATTTGGCTTCCCCATCCCCAAATTCATCTTCCCTGCTGATAACTTCAATGCTTTCAAGCAACAAAGCTGCCCATTGCTCATGAACTCCTCTTCATCATCGTCGTCTTCCTCAAAATCGTCATCAAAGTACTTGAATTCGATCTTCTTCGTCTTCTTCTGGTTGATCGACATGGGTTCCTTCCTGTTCTTCGATTTCCTGCTCGAATTATCCTCTTCGTAAGACTCCCAAAGCGAATCCATGCCTTCTTCACCTCCTTCTGAGTTATGCCTTTCTTCGAACAGCTTGCATGCTAATGTCCGCTTCCATTCTTTCTCCTTCCTCATTGATCCGTAGCTCCCGATGCTGCTTGAGGAATCTACCCGACATGAATTTGATTTCAAGGAAAATGACTTTTCATAAGGTTTTTGATCGGCTTCGGCTTCGACGACCGCCATGGATTTGCTTCCGAGTTTTTTCTTCACCACTGGCTCTGGTTTCTGTAATTCTCCAACGATTCTTTCGAGATCTGAACTACTTTCCTTCTCTGCCGTCTCAACCGCCGTCGTGGAATCTTCAAATCGATCCAGTTCTTCGAATAAACACTCCAAACTTCTCAACTCCTCCTGTTTATGATCACTTTCCGGAACAGTAACAGCAACCGCAACCGCAACCGCATTCTCCATTACCGATACTTGTTCATTATCGTCTCCATCACTGACCGTGATCAATGGCGGATCATGAAACACGATTTTGTAGATCTCAAAATCCTCAAAATTACAGAAGTCCTCATCTTCGTCAACGTCATTCAATTTTGATCGGAGTTTGTCCACGACGGTTTGAATGATCCCGAGCTTCGGCTGTGGAAAAGTGGTGGTGAGGAATGAAAGGAGGAGAACGAGAGCGGTGGTGAAAAAGAGAGGGGAGATGAAGAAGATGAATTTGAACAAGTAAGGAGAGAAGAATAGGAAGTAGGAGAAATAGAGCGGGTGGGAGAAGATTAAGGAACAGAGGAGGGATAAATCATAGAAGAAGAAACATGAGTTGTTTTTGATGTCGCAAGTGGATGGGAAACACAGCTCATCTGCCATGGTTGGGTCCTTATGATCAGGAGTTGATGAGCGACAATAATGGCGGAATCTATAGAGAAAATGGAGGAAGATGGAGAAGACGACTGGTGGAGTGAGTGTGTTGAGACTGAAGCGATTGCGGCGTGAATAAAGGGAAGTAGGATTTGAGTGGGACAAGTCTTTGAGATTTTTAATTGAGAAAATGTGAATGACAAAAATATCAAAACGAGTGTATATATATTAAGAAATTAAAGTCTTCTATAATTTCATATTTATTCTATTATTCTTCTATTTACGATTACAAATAGATTAAAATATTTTAAAAAAAAAATAAGTATGACATATTGATAGAAAGATGACGTAAAAAAAATAATAGAATAATATTTAATTTCTTATCTACTCTAATAAATGAATTTTCTTTTGTCATATATCATACTTTAATTTATTTTATCAAATATCATTTTATGGTTTTTTAAAATTAATTTTTTTTTCTATATGTTATTTTATGAGTATTTTATTTATTTATTAAATTTCACATAATATTAATGTAATAATTACAATAATTGTAGTGATAAATGAATATTAATTTCATTAATGGATTCACCTTTTAATTTCAAAATTTCCAAATTAAAGTTTATTGGTTTCTTTTGTTTATTTATTTAAATTTAAAAGATAAAAAACATTTCAATTTCAATAATTCATTATTTTTCTTATTTTGTTATAAATATAAAATTCTCAAATATTTAGATATTTGTATTTTTTTTTAAAATTAACTCATGTAATACACGAGTTTCACAACTAGTATATATTTAATGAAAAAAAAATTCTTTTAGTTTTTATGTAACGAATAAACGATCATATAACTATTACTAAATTATTTTTTACTACAAATTCACATCTCACTTCAAAAAATATTGTAATATAGGTTTTTTTTTTTTATAATTGTTTTAAATGGATTAAAAAAATGAGAGAATTTTAAAAATAAATGTAAGGTTCCAAAAATCACGATAAATTTTTTTATTTTTAAATCAAAACAAATCGTTGTTTTCAAAAAAAAAACTCAAATCAACCAAACGTTTACAACACATTGTTCTTAATATAGAAATCATATATCAGAGTGTCCCAAATCAGTATCAACAAAACCAAGAGGATGTGCACGATCACCCCTTCGCTTTCCTACGGTCATCTGAAATACTTGAAACATAAAACTGTAATTGTAAGTCAAAGCTTAATGAGTCCCCCCAAAGTACCACATACAACCATATAGATAACAACACATATACATGAGCCTTCGGCTTGATTGGACTGTTACACCAGCCTTGTAGCCTATCTGGACTGTTCACGGAGCCTTCAGTATGACTGATCCACTGCACCGGGCCTACAATCTATTTGGACCACTCCTCGTTCTTTCAGCCTGACTTGACCGCCTTAAATATCTTGGCCTTCAACACTAAGTAGGGTCGCCTCAACCCAACAAACCATAACATATCGAAATATACAATAACATTAACTAATCAGCAACATAGATTATCATACAGATCTACCAATCTAACACATACTTAGTGAACACAGGTAATCATACAGTTCTATCAATCTAACACATACTCAACATAACATCAATTCAATATACAAGGATATATAATCTAGTGGGCCAACAACGGTGCCTTCGACCTATAAGTACAGTGAGGAAAACTCGTCTCTCAGTCTGAACAGATAGCTAAATAGGATGTTACTCCGAATATCATCTCTACTAGTCACCTAAACATCAAATAGTGACCAATCTCAATTACCACTCAAAATACCCAAAATACTCTTAGGCCAAACTTGGTCAAAATCTCGGTCATGGTCAAAAGTCAAAGAAATCAACTGAGTCAATTAGCGGAGTACGTTGGGCGTACTCAGCTCGTACGCGGGGCGTACTAGTAGCTTGACCATATTACGAGTTGTTAACCGTGTACGCATAGTATAGCATTTGGTACGCCGAGCATACACGTCAACCAACCACCATTTCTAATAAGTGCTTATTTCGTTAAGCACCCGCATCTAAAATCCAGATCTAGTCCTCAAATGATGTTGTTAATCATAAAGTTTCCAACTTTATGATCTTGCATGGCTATAAAGTGCCCAATACCAAAAACCCTAACTTCTTAACTCATTACGACATCATAGCCAATGCATGGAAGGAAACTAATGATCAAGATTGCATTTTTATAACCTTACACACCCCAAAATGTCTGAAAAGACAATCCATTTGATCTGGTGCATGCCACACTCAAGAATACCATTGTTTTAGGGACAAAAGCATATAATAGCATCAAACAAGCTAGATCTAACCAAATAAGCATCAAGGTATAAACTTTATACCTTCTGGAGATGGAGGAGGGTGCAAAACTTCCAAATCTAATGTTGCTCCAAGCTTCCAATATGCTCTTCTCTTCTTGTCATTCCTCTATGAACACCAAAACACACAGTAATGGCTCACGGATGCTCAAAAATGGATTAGGGTTTGCTAGGGTCAAATATGAAGGTTGGAAGCTGATAAATGAAGGGAGCCTTACACGGATGTTATTCATGACCAAATTTGCTAGCAATACCCATACCAAAGGTCAAAATGTAAAATACTTGAAAATCAAAATGTTACAATAAATTTAGCAGCAAAAAAGTGACTACACTCGAGATGTTAAGAAATATTCAAGTAAATTGCATAATTACCTTTTGTTGTGAATTTTATTTAATGTACACTTAAATCTTTCATACAATTTTTCTTAACCTTTTTTTAAACGATTTTTGTATGAAAAAAAGAAATAAGACTATTATGACATTGTAGTGTTTTTGTATTTGTAGTGGTTTTTTTTTACCATTTTGATATTGTTGTGATTTTTTGAAGAGTAACAGTGGGTTAATTTTGGTTAAATTGTAATATAGTGGATATATTATTGAAATAATTGCTTGAAGGTCTACCCTAGAAATTTGTAATTAGATAAAGTTTAGAGTATTTATAACAATTTATAATTATACTAAGTTATAAACCGTAAAAACCATTGTTGATAAATTAAAACAATCTTGATCGGATAAAATATAGGCATATAGTAATAATATATGTTAAGGCAAAGAAATCAATTTAATTACAGATAATTTATGTTAAGGCAATTGAAAATATATATTCTTTTTTTTAAACATATCTTTTAAATATATATTTATTTTTAAATTGTAACTTTTGTCAAAATATATATATATATATATATATATATATATATATATATATATATATATATATAGTTATAAGAATTTTATATGATTATAACATTCTTTTTTTGTTCAGTTTTAAGTCTTTCAAATGGCAAAAAGAAAAAATGGTCAAAACGATAGTTGACTAAAAAAGCAATAATGAACTGCATATTAGATAAAAAAAAACATTATAAAAAGTAGCTAATATGTAATAAGCATTCAAAAAATATTTTGAGAGAAATGGGTCGAAACTCCAACTTCATAACCAAAAAAATGGATGCTTACAACAAAATTATGAACATGACCGGTATATCTTAAGTGTACAACTGAAACCGACCTATAAGTATAATGCTCAATTTGATATAATTTTCAAAGTGAAATGTTATTAGTATGAAAAATATATTGATATGATAGGTAAGTTACTTTTTCTTGCATTAGACTGAAACCGACCTATAAGTATAATGCTCAATTTGATATAATTTTCAAAGTGAAATGTTATTAGTATGAAAAATATATTGATATGATAGGTAAGTTACTTTTTCTTGCATTAGCCTGTAAACAAACTGGACAATGTTATTAATAACAAAATTTTGTTGTTACTATTCCACCAAAAAAACTGGTCCATATATAAAAGAGGTTCTCTGTTAGCCTGTATATTATTAGTCCGCTTGTTTATGTGCCCTTTAGTTTTTAGCCCATTAGGGTTTTGTCTAGCTAGTATTTATATCCGATTTATTCTTTGTAGCCTTTATGTTTTTCATTGACAATGTTGTAATTTCTCTTTATCAGAATCATATGGCAATGTTACCATGTTATCATAGTGGAGGTTTGATACATTGTTAGAACAATTTGTAGCAGTCATCTGTGGCGCGGATCGATAACAATTTTGTTCAAACTGTTGATGTTTTTTGTTGGTGATATTTGTTTGTTGTTTTTGCTAAGTCGTTATTGTTTGAATTCTTGTTGTTTGATTGATTGCTTATGTTGGTTTATTACTCATCTCATTCTCAGTTTTCTATACTGTTATTATGGTTATTTATTCAATGCCAACATAGCCAGAAAGGATGATTCCCTTCAGTCAATCAGTACTCGTCTAGATGGAAAGAATTATACGTATTGGAGTTGCGTTATGAAGAACTCCTTCTTGTTAAGAATATATGGGGCTATATCACTGAGACTAAAGCCAAACCCTCAGTGCCTCAAGCTGAGAATTTCGATTTGCTGGTTGATTCTTGGGAGACTTATAACTCCAAGGTCATTACTTGGATTAATAATTCTATTACTTAGTCTATTGGTGTGCAGTTGGCTAAATACGACACAACAAATGAAGTTTTGGAATTACCAGTTAGAATATGATATTTGTGCTCTTTAACGAAATGATCAGAGCATTTAAGATTTATATGATGCTATATCTGATTTGTGGGATCAATTGGCTGTTACTGAATCTAAAGAGTTAAAATATTTTATGCCTTACATTTCTATGAGGGAAGAAAAACATTTGGACCAATTCTTGATGGCCTTGCGTTATGATTTTGAAGACCTACGTGGAACGATTCTTCATCGCTCTTCCCTTCCCTCAGTGGATTATGTTGTTCATGAGTTGATTGCTGTAGAGACTCGTATAAAGTCTCATGTGGATAAAGGGTTTAAAGCAACCTCAATTCCTACTTTCACTCTTGTTGTGATTGTTGTCTCCTATAATCAGACTTGACAAACTTCAAGGGTTGCTTATGATGAGTGTGCATTGTGCAAACAGAAAAATCATTGGAAAGCTCAGTGTTCATTGTTAGTTA